CAGGTCGGCCCCCCCTCGGCGGGGGCAGGGTGGGGGCGGGGTCTCTGCGTGGGCAAGCGGCTGCGTCCCCTGGAGAAAGGCTGAGCTGCAGCTCCAGGGAGAGCCACCTCCCGCGTGCTGGTTGGGGTGCTGGAGGGCAGGGTCACTGCAGGCTGGAAACGGCACAGTTGGACACGACGTAGAGGACGAGCTGGTGGAAAGCGAGCGTGTGTTCTCCCTTCGCTCGCCTCCCTGTCCGGTGTGGAGCAGCTCTGCTCTGCAGGTCGGTCACGCCGTCCCGGGGGTCAGGGCATTGCGTGTGCAGCCTGCGGGGAGGACGGCAAAGGAAGGGAGAAGCGCAGAGAGGAGGTGGCCAGAAGAGCGAGGAGAGTCGCACAGAGCAGCTGGAGATGACCTAGGTTGCTCTTCACGCCATGGCTGCCTCCTCCAGCAGCTCAGTGCAGCGCAGATGCCGGGTCGGCGTCTGCAGCGCTGCTCTTGGCTCCCAGCGCAAGACTGCCCGTGTACCGGGGGCCAAGACACGCTCGTTAGCGTCGGCGAAACACCGAGTGCCAGGACCGCGTGGGTAGGGTCGTGATGCTGTGCTGGTGAGCAGAACCAGGAGCAGCTCTGCAGCGGAGCGGGTCTGGGGTGACGGCGAGGGGGGTCTGCAGAGCTGCCAAGGGCTGGATGGAGCTGCGGAGCCTGTGGGAGCTGCGGGGGGCTGGAAGCGCCTGGGGCAGCTGGGTGGAGCTGGTGGGTGCGGAGCAGACCCCATTCTGCGCCCTGCAGAGCACGGCTGGGGCAGCTCCCAGAGAAGGGGGCTGTTCCCAGGCAGAGCAGACCCCCACTGCGCTCACACCCACCGCTCTCTGTGGGTGCTCAACCTCCTGTATCCCAGGCACGGCCGAGGAACTGGGGTGCGGGTGAAGAGGATGCTGATAACGGCCTCAAAGTCAGGAGCAGAGCAGCACTGGCAGCGTGCTGCATGAAATCCAAAGCCAGGAGCAGCCCCGGACTTGGACGGAGCCCTGAGGCAGATGGAGGGAGGAAAGCGCTCCAGCCAAGCAGCATGTGGAGGCTGGGAGGGGGGCGAGGAGGCTGGGAGGGGGGCGAGGAAGCTGGGAGGCAGCATCCCAGGGGGGCACCCTCCTCGCAGGGGGGGACACCCTCCCCGTGGTGGGGGGACCCTCCCCGTGGTGACCCTCCCCGTGTGGGTGCTGGCCCGGTCACCATCCGGGACGTGCGATGCCCCCCGGCCCCTCGCAGGAGGTGACGCGCTGGACGGTGATGTTGGGTCTGGAGGGACGTGTGGGTGGGAGCCGTGAGGAGGGGGCTGAGCTGGTCAGACCTCCCCAGTCAGTGCCTGGGGTGGGTGACACAGCACGGGGACCCTCTCCCCGGCCACGGTGGGGTCACAGGGCAGCTGTCCCCGCTGGGCTGCAGGGCCTGGGCAGGGGGACGGTGACGGCAGCGAACCCTGCGCAGCCCGCAGTGAGATGATCCTGCGATGTGTGGCGATGGAGCACAGCCCTGTGCTCCGGGAGGGCCAGGAGCAGCCTCCCGGGACCAGCGCTGAGACCCCAGCCCCGGAGGGAGAAGGGAGCCCACCCTGGGAGGGACCCCCGGGGACAGCCGCTTTGCTCCTGCTCTTCACAACCATGCGTGGAAGCTCTGCCTCAAGCGCAGCCCCGGGCTCTCAGGCCCTTGGGACGTCGCCGGTGGCGTGCCTGGTCCCCGCAGGCTCCCCTGCGCGGGGATCCGTCCTGCTGCTCCCTGCTGCCGTGGCTCGGGCCAGGCCCCC